GATACCAGGCGAAGGCAAATTCATTTGAACATACAATTACTCAGGTATAAAATTATGGAAAACCTAGCGGGGAATGGTTAATTGAGACAATTGACAAAGAAAGGACTTTTTTATATTGATTGAGTTAATTCTACTATAGGAACATTATCTGTCATCCGAACGAAAGAAAGGTGCATTTGGTGATATTCTATCCTCTCCAAAGACTGTCACGGAATCAACAGTAAACACCAATCCACCGACAGTAGTGAATGGTAAGCACGGCAAAGACGAAGACGAAGATGGTGATGCCGGCGATGGCGTGGGGACACGATCAACATTCGATGACAGCATTTGGGATATAGCAAGCGTACAGCTAAAGGATACACACCACAATTTAAAAGCAAAACAAGGGCGATCCACCAACACAGCACCACGCATCACATATTCGGGCAAAAAAAGGAAAAGGTCAGCAAAGATTCTATCAACTGGACCTTCAAACCAAGCATCAGTTTTGTCGCCGTTGAATCAATCAACAAATGGATCGTTCAAGAATCAGTCAAAACCTAAAAATCAGGCAACAGCAATGGAACATGATCTTACAAATCCAATGGACACGTCCACCCCATCCAAAAAACCGAAAGAAACTGTCGTCCAACTTTTCGCTCGGCTGCAGAAACGACCGGTAAGATATAATTCCAACATGGGCTGTATGTTGCAAAGTGTCTAACCTTTAGATATATTGTTTAGAACATGTCGTATACTTCAGAGGAAAAAGGGAAAGGCAGAGCGATCGACTTATCACGACCATTATCTACACCAACAAAGGAATCAACATCTTCAACTTCAAAACGACTAACCAAGGATTCTCTTCGATTGTCAACCAGAAAAAAGAATCTGAAAGCATCGCCAGTAGCAGACACAACAAAAACAATAGCATCATCATCTTCCACTTCATCGTCAATGACTGCAACATCGCTCAATCACCAACATCTCGTACAACAAGTATGATCACCAAATAAATAATACTCGCTGGATGAAACGGGTATTTGCATTTTCAACCAGCAATGAACAAAGCTCACTATTTCAGTCACCTCCATGCGCAATCTCTCTTTACACGTAGTGGTTATGAAATCGATCCCATGCTAACGGCTTTTATTACTTATTTTATTTATTACTTTGTGTTGGACGAAAACTGGGAATTTTTGGCAATATTGGTACACAACGGAGGGACAGAACAACGAAATCGATATGGTACACGGAAGCAAAGTAGGAAGCGGCATTATCACCTATTCGACAAATTGGTATATAGCATGAAGCGATCGCTGATCACCATACGCAAATGGAATTTTACTTGATGGATCTTGACGATGACAACAACTAGGAAAACATATAGACAGTGGCGCTGGGGGGATGATCGCCTTGTTGGGAAATATGATAATGGTCGAATGCCAAGTGATATGAAAACCAGTGGACCGATGGACCAATCAATCAAGACAGCTATATTACTCTGATTTGTGCGATATTACACAAGAAACTGGTTATTAGTAGTTTTAGTTAATGATATATGTATTTATACCTTTATTCATTATATGTTATTCATTGTATTTTGTTTACTACTATTATTTATTGTTTATTATTTACAAAAATCAGTAGCTGTATGTTAGAATAGAATTATGATTTGAATAAACAAAATTTATTTTCTAATCTTTATGTTTGTTTTTGTTGGTTTTTTTATTTTTTTTTTATTTGAAAAATAGTGGTGTTGCTTCTATGGAGAATCAAAAGAAATGGGGGGACATTAACGAAATAGATATTCATGAACTCATTTTTTTAAGGGGAAATATTGACCCTGCAATTTAAACTTGTCTTTTTACGCTTGTCGTTCTCCTAGTCCAGTGTGCGGGAATTGAAAAGCTTTTTTTTAGAGAGGGGATGGCTATTTTCCCCTTTTTCTTCTCTTCCTTTTTCTTTTATTTCTTGTTGCCACTCTTTATTTGTTTATTTACTTCTCTTCTCTCCTATATTGCACTTACCGTATATCTTTTATTTACCATCTTAACTTTATCACAACCAAAGTAAGGAATGGAAAAAAAATAAAGAAGAAAAGTAGGCATTTATATTCCACTATACCTTCAAGCACCTACAAGCATTGTATTTTCATCTTGACTAACTGATATGTATGTCTGTCTTTTCATCCTGTAGGTATCATTTATGGCAAACAATATGTCAAGACGCTTTTCAACACTGGAACTTCCGACTCCAACGTATCAGAAAGACATGTCGAATGATGTGCGATTGAAACTGGCAAAGGTTAGGGCACGAAGTCGGTCATTCTGTGCGCCTTCCATCTCTTCTACTCCTTCAACTGAACTGAAAACTAAAAAATCAAGCCAACTACCACGCTCATCCGTCACTGCACTTACAACCTCTGCGAAAGCTAAACAACGACAACCTCGTTCAAACGGACGCAGTACCACCACCACCACTGAGCCATCAAGCCCCGCTCATAGCCTCAACAAACGTCGCCAATCTACATCCAATGCTAGACCTCAACAACATAATACAACAACCTCGTCTACATCAAAATCAACACGCCAAGTGCAGCGTGGTAAAGTCACTAGATCTACGACGATAAAAAAGACATGCGACGGTGCACCGAAAGACAATTACGACGACGACGTTATGATCAAATTCTTTGAAAGTGATAGCGACGAAGACGATCTGTTTTTCCGACAAAAATCAAAACCAGCAACTGAAATGGATCAAGAACAACAACAGCAGCAACAACAAAGACGCCAAAGACGGACCACTATGCCTCCTAGATTGATTGTATCAGAACGAAGGTTATCGTCAACGTTTTCTCCTGAACAAACAGCAACACCAGCGGACAATACCGACAATGCCGACAAGAATCATGACCAATCAATGTGGACGGAACTGCAAGAACTAAAGTCAAGGTTAGCGAAACTCGAAGTACAAGCACCGCCAGAAACGGGAAACAACAAAAAATCATCCATCTGCTCACCACCGATCACTCGACCTTCATCTATCACCTCTGTAGTATCATCACCACACTCGCCTTTAGTTGATTCTGCTTGCTCTATATCCAACAGCAACAACAACAACAAAGAGGTCAGAACTCACTCACAGCTACTATTACAAGACACTGTCCTTCACTTGGAAACACATTTACGTACAGATGCCGACTCCAGTAACAACGAAGCAAATACTGTCTTCATGGACAATCTGATTACCTTGGTTGCCGAAACGATTACTATCAACCAGACCTTGACATCCCTTGGCAGTCAGCAACAGCGACACACACCTGGGACCTTCGTCAACAGCATCACGAATTTACAAAAATGCAGTGAACGCCAAGTCAACCTACTAGCCGACACTTTACAATCACTTATTGCTCATCGACAACAACAAGAAACACAACGACAACAGCAGTATCAGCGAGGACCTCATCAACAACCAGTATCTCCTCCATTATCGCAATCTGTCATGGACTCCGAAAGTGTGTCGCCCAAGTCATCAAAACCTCATCAAACCTCATCATCGAACTACTCGCCACCATCAGTGCGTCAATCACGGCCTCCTACTCAGCAATATGCTTATCCCTACTATCATGACGAAGCTATTCAAAACTACAATGACGATACATCATCTCAAAATTCTACATCATACAACGCTTTCTCTCGACTTCAACAACGCCAACTGAACCGAAAGTCTATTATATCATCATCATCATCTGCGGCCCCATCACACCTACCTATTATATCAAATATTCCGACCTTGAGACGCCACCGACAAGACAGTATTACCAGCAAATACATGAACAACAATCATCGGCATCCAGACCTGTTAGCGGAATTCTACATCAACAGCATCATCCTTCCTATCAGAACCAGCAGCAGCAGCATCAGCAGCAATCCTATTATCCGTCATCGGTAGTGGAGCAACAACAAAGACAGCAGCATTCATCTACATTGCAGCAGCCCATGGCCTCTTCTCGTGTCAATCGACTTTTATCCATGTACGATTCAATGCTGAAACCAGTCGCCGCCGGTGTCGCAAATACCAACTCCTCTCCCTTGATGTCTCCGCCTTCAATACAACACCATCAGTATAGTCAACTTCATCACCATCAGGATCAACCGTCTTACATTGATTATCAACATCATTAGCTTGTTTTTTTTATTGTTTGTGTCTACTTTATATATATATATATATATCCTCTTTTTCATTCAACTATTGGCAGTCTTGTGATTGTAGGGTGGTTAGTTATTAGTTATTTTTATCTACTTAGTCACATTTATGATTCTGGAAAAAAAAATAGGGGTATTTGTTGTACCTTTATCGATTTGTTTATTATCATCCCCCCATTCTCTCTTGTGTATATTCTTCCTTTTTTTTACATACATTCTTTACATTATTATTATATTATTACATTGACTTCTAATAAAGAATCCATCATATATATTGTTTTATATTAGTGTATTATTGATTTTGCCGTGATTGTGATTGTGATTGTGATTGTACTTCTCTTTTCTTTCAAATGCATGGGGTGCGTCTATGTCTGATCTGTCTTCTTTAGTTATCTTGATTTGATTCATATCATATGACCACGGGCTATTATGATTGACGCTACTCGTAACCTGTTTGTTGTATTTTATCTCTTTTAGTTCGCTGATCCCCCTCCTCGTCTACTCCTTCTTCAGTAACCGGGAACGGCGCTTTGCCATGAAGGTTACATATCACGAAATAGGAGTGATCACCGAGTTTTTTTTTTTTTTTTTTTTTTAAAAAAAAAAAAAAAAAAGAAAATGCGGTCTGGATCAATTGGTGTAGTCAAGAGTTTCTGTGAAACGATCGAAGAAAAGACATCCAAAGCATGGATTCGGCTGCCATTGGCCAATCATGTTCTCATTTTTGAGCCGGCTCTTATCCAACCAATCAGATCGCGGCCATTTTGGTCTTTTCCATATATTATATATCCAAAATCGGATTAAATATAAGCCGGGATAGTATAGTGGCAGTACATTGCGTTGTGGCCGCACTGACCTGAGTTCGATTCTCAGTCCCGGCATATTCTTTTGTTATCGAGCTTCTTGTAGCTTTTTTTTTCGCTGTATGGTCGTCCGAGGATCGCTAGGTTCTTGTTTATTCAAAATACGAACAGTTTGACAGGTCGGCATATCATGATCCGCTTTATTTTCCTGCTTGGATGTTCTTTTTTGAAGCTTGCGTCGATATACATCATATAAACCCCAATCTACTTGTAATACCATTGTTTACCTGCTTTACATTCTTGGAAGTGAGCGATAGTGTCCCTAGAACTAGAATTAAAAAATTACAGATGCAAATAAAAAAAAAAAAAAAACCAGAGGCCATCTTTTCAAAACCCGCCCACGTGGATTTTTATTTTGTCGCAATTTTTTTTTTATTTTTGGGCGCTCTTTTTTCTCCTCTTTTTTTTCACCATTATAGTGATGTTGCACTTAGATTAGGGTCAGGACTAGTTTAGAAGGGTTTTCAGACAAGGGATTGTAACATGCATGGGGAAACCATTTCATTTTAGATTCAGGATTTAGAACTACCGTTAGCTGGCTTATTAGATAGAGTCGTCATTATCTTGGTTTAGTATTAGTTTGCCCATTGTTTGTATCCCCCCATCTAAATAAAATATATCTTTTTTTAATTGCTTCAATGAAAAAGTGTCACCATAGTATTTCTCATGTCTTGTGCAATTGATCTCTCTTTTACTACCATCACTCCTTTAGATCCACTCCAAGCTTTATACACTATATTCCGTTTTACCACCGTCTTTTTCTATCTTTCCTTGCCTTACATAATTGATATTGTTTTTTTTTCTTTACTCTTTTTTTTTGGCATTGACCTTCTATATTGCTGTCCACCATTCTTCAGATCCCTACATTCTCTAAAACCCGCACTCATCTCCCCTTGTTTTGCGTCATAGATCACTCGTAGTCCTTCAATTCAGAAGTGATAATTTTGCTTCAAATAAAATATGTATATTTTTCTTTATTGTTGAATAAACAATTTATATAGCACACTAGTAGTATTAGATGCTATACGGCGAATGCCAACTATTCTACAGTGGAGGGAATAAGCTAATTTGGTAGACCTTGAAAGGATGCGTGGGAAGCCAAAAAAAAAAAAGGTCGGAATTTCAATCATTCTATGACTTGAACCAAGGGTACACCTACAGTATGCAGACTCAGTACCTCGAGAAATAACGAATCTTATGAGCCAAAAGGTCAGTTCTTTTATAAAAGAAAATTATATACAGCATATTTTATCTTCAATTGTAATATTCTTCTTTTTTTCAAGTTTTACCTCTCTGATCTGTTTAGACTCCTCAATCAAAATACTACCTTGAATCAAGTCTAGTAACTACTTCAACGTTATGCCATATGTCATCATACAGTACTACATACTTTAGACTTAGAACATTTATTCAATTAGTTGTTTAATACAATAAAAAAGAAACCACTTGCTTTTATTTGACATCATTATCCATTCATTACTTATGTCTCATTAGCTTTTTTTTTTCTTCTGAAGATATACTATGTCTCTGTGTCTCTTGTTTTTAATGTGTACTCTTTATATGTGTATGTGTAAAGATGTGTGTATGTGTACGAGAAAAAAATAGTTTTGACAGAGACATTATTGATTATACGATGGTCAGAGGATGGTTATAAAAAGGCATACTTTATTGAAGGGACATTGGTAGATACTAAAACTAAAGACAAGAGGTTCCTAGTAATATGGAATTTAAAGGAAGAATCTGTTAAACGAAGCATGAGAGGGAAATAAAGTAAGATATGCAGAATGATCAATATTAATCTAAAATTGCAAATGTAGAATGGGAGCTAATATATTGTATAAGACTAAGATATGAAAAAGACCAGACGGACATCTATAACTGAAGCCCAATATCGACCAATACTCATCAAATGGGGATGATGGTAGTGAAAACGAGATCTATTGTATGTGCCATGACAGAGACTACTGGAACATTGCTCATCAAGGGAGGTAAAAAGAGATAAATTTTATTCAAATGTAGATACAAAACTATGGACAAACCAAAACTAAACTAAGCTGATGAAGGCTTCCAAAAGCCAACTAATGGGGCTCCCAGATCCGATATCCAAAATGAAAGGGTTTCCCCATGCATCTTGTAATCCCTTGTCTGAAAACCCTTCTAAACTAATCCTGACACTAATCTAAGATTATCATTATTTTCAAAGAAGTCGAATGATAAAGAAAAAAATGAAGGAGAGGAAAAGAAGGAGAAGACGAAAAAAATAAAAATTGAGAACGAAAACCAACCTCACGTGTGCGGGTTTTGAAAATGATTTTTTTTTTTTGGTCGAACTACAGTATTGACCACTTCCCTAGAAATGGTGACACACATTAGAATAACGATATTACCAATAACAACAATGTAATTTCGTTTCCCCATTGATACTATTATTGTGTGTCCTCACTGTATTAATTACTTAGTAGCCATTACTTAATATATACATTTCAGTAAACAAAAACATTAGTGATATAAAAAGAAAAGACTTTGTGCGGACGGCGTTATGTGGTTTTTATTCAATATAATGTTTATGTAAGTAGAACTATATGTATAAATAGATAATAAAATAGTGACTAGTGTGTGTAATATTGGCTGGATAGATGATACTATATAAGTGGTAGAATGGAATGATGGGGTTGGATGTCATACAGCCGTTTTTTCATCATAGTGATGGGTAGGAGGCGGAGGAGGGGCTCTTGTAAAGCCATAGGACTGCACAGTAGAAGGATCCACATTACTATTACTATTGTTGTCTATGATATAAGCGTTAGAAAAATTGGGATCATCAGATTCGTTATAGGGGTGGAACTCTTCCAAATCCGCCTGAGCCTGTCGTTTGCGTCGTCGAAGCCAAAATAACAATGCTCCGCCAAGTAAAGCCACACCCACTATGGATCCAACGACAGCGCCTGCAATCGTGCCACCACTAACAGTATCGCCATTCGAGATTGATACTGGTGAAGAAGAGGCTGTAGACGCTGTTGATGAAGGTAAAGATGCGACTGTAATTTCAGTTGTTGTTGATTCAGGGGAAGTAGGTGTTGGAGTGATGTCAGTGGTGATAGACGAAGATGATGATAAGTCAGTCGATGAAGTGGATGAGTCAGTAGATGAAGAAAATGTATCTGTGGTTGATGGAGAAGTAGTTGTCGGTTCAGAGGTAGTGGTTTCTGTTGTGGGAGAAGATGTTTGGCTGTCCGTTGTGTCACCTATGTAACAGAAACCCTTAGAGTTTATGTTATTTATATTTTTGTTCCATGTTCATTCATACCTGGGGTTGTAGTCGTTATTGTTGGCGTTGATTCTTCAGTTGTGGTCTCCGACGAGGAATCATCAGTTGTTGTTGTTGCCACTTGATCGGTAGTAGTGGTTGGATCATCCATTTTGTATTCCTAGTAGACTTTAAAGAAAAGAAATAAAAAATGTATCAACAGTGTATTCATTTATATTGGTAAGTAACACTGCTTTTACTTTGTAGTCAGAATATATATTTTCCAAAAAAAAAAAAAAAAAAGTAAAGAAAGAACGGAAAGAAGGTTGGAGGGAATCTCTTTTTTTATTGTCTCTGATTTTTATGCATCACGTTTCTTTTTTTTTTTTTTTTGTCCTCCCCTTCCAAATAGGAGGAACATGATTTTAGGGTCGCTTTTTAATTTCTAAAAACCACACAGTCGAGTGCTATAGGATTTTCCTTTTCAACATGGCGGTTTCAAACATCTTTCTCATTGTAATGCAATTGGAATATAAATAACACTTCAAAAATAGTGGGCATGGGATTGAAACATGATTTATTTTTGGAAAGCTAAAAAAGATTGACCAGATTTGTTACACAAAGATATTCCTCAATGGTACATCATGTGTGGCTCCATATTCAAATACCGCTTGTCTTCCTTTTTTGACGAACCTTTTTTTTTTTTTCTTTCTCTTTCTTTTTTGTTGTTGTTTTCACAAATGTCCCCTAATCACCTACATTCATTATCGGTACTTAAGTTTGGTTGTTCTATCAAACAAAAAAACCCTAAAATTGATTACAAGAAAACTGGCGCTGATTGCCTCTTTATATGCCATATGATAGGGTTCGTGTGAATATTGTACTTTGTGTTATTGTAAGTATAACGGTATGGAGCGGAATCAATAATATATAAAGACATCACTAATTGTCCCTTCTGGATTTCTTATTGTTCTGGAATGGTGAATATTTTTAACGGGCATTGGATTATTTGTAGCTAGTCTTGATCTATTGGTATATGGATTGAAGCTGGAAGTTAGTGTAATCTGGTCTAGATTTCTTGAATTCCTTATTACTGCTTATAGGTAAATACTAAAAAGATAAAAAATAAAAAATGAAATAAGGTTAGTAATACTAATGCTCAATACCATCATCATTTCTAGCTGTGTACTGTGCATCAACCGTCCGTGCCTGTGTGACTCGGTCAAGAAGAACCAATAAGCTACGCAATTCGGAAGTCTTCCTATTCAACCCATTGGGAAGGCTCAGTATTAGTTAGGTTATAAAACTTTTTAGTTTGTAGTTAGTTAGATTTAGCCCAAACCACACTTTACACATTGTGCATTCCATTCTACTTTTTTATTATACTTCCCTTTTCCCTTTCTCCCCTTATCATCCCTTACCTGTCTCATTTGATACCTGCTTCTTCTCGTTTTTGTCATTCCCTCTCTGTACATACCTCTTTTATCATTATTCATTTTACAAATAAAAGTATATTTGAAATAAATCCTTTGTTGTATCATTCTAATTTGAACGTTTTACTGTGAATATGTCGCATGATCATCACCATACTAGGAATCAAAACAATACTTATTGGGTAATATGCGCATGGACAACAGTTTAGTAACACAAATTATCCACCTTTTTCTTATTTAAAAGGGGGGGACCGTATACTCACTTTGACCTACTTTTCTCTTTCTCTTTCTCTTTTCTCTCACCCATTCTTCCTTACTTTTACTCTTCTTCTCTTTAT